AGAAAATTCCCTTTACAGGAATATAGTTCTAATCATACCACATTTATCTATAGGGTATAACATCCTGAGATACATCTCATGATAAGCAAGGAAACCAGGGGACAACTTCTCCAGGCTTGTGGCTTTTGCTATGTTCCATATGCAGTCCACCTGTGTTCTGCTTTCATGCCTGCACAAGTGATTGACGAATGTTACAGGCTACTGTCCTACAACAGGGGAGGGAACAAAGCAGCACTGCCATGGAATTTGACAGAAAATTTACATATACCTCTCCAAAAGTTGATAACCCCCCTCTGCAGGATTCCATTGAAATCATGACAAGAATCAACGTGCTGCTCAGCCACATCAATTAGCTACGCAGGGATGTGCAGCTCTGAGAAACACAGCCTGCCTGAGATCTTCTGAACCCTGAAAGAGGTTACTTAACTATTTCACTCTTGGTGGTGTCAGGAATATTTTAATAGGAACACAGTACAGTAATTCTGTTTGATTAGAGATTAAATGCAAGTAAGCATGCTCTTGTTTATCACTCCACTCGATTAGATTTAAGTTCACACACACATAAGCAATAGGTTTAGAACATTCCCGATATTTACCTAATTAATAGCCAATTTGTAGTGGCCAGTTGATCCACTGGGGAAAAAGGTGTCAGAAAACACGTCTCTCACGAGGGCTTCACAAGAGTGTTCTAAAGTACACTATTTTATCTATTCTTTTGTAACTAACAAAATGTGTCAATGACCCCTCCTGGGTCATCAGTATTGCTATTAATTTTTAATAAACTTTTAATATCAGAGGAGGCCACATTCAAAAGTCTTCCAACCACTAAGGTTTTTCGTCTCAGTTGTTGACTTTCTTCCCCTACTCCAGGGGTGGGGAACCACTGGCTTACGAGCAACATGGGCTCTTCAAAGGCAAAATTGCGGCTCCCACACCTGCAGCTTGGCTCACGCATCCGTGGCTGTTCTGCATTCCCCTGCTCTGACATTTTTTCCTTGTCTGGTCAGGGTGCCACTTGGGGCAGCGAGATCTGATGTTGCGGCCAACGAAAGACTGCTTGGGCCACACGCAGTGGTTAAAGGGGCAGCTTTTTTCCCCCCTCAACAACTTCTTTCCCTTGGCTCTTTGCACTGTATCCACCACTATTTTGGCTCTTTGTCTGTAGCGGGTTGGCCACCCCTGCCCTACTCCATTGAGATTAGCAGAAAGTGCCAGTTTGATTTTTACCTTGCTTCTGAAAGCCTAAATAGAACTACGTAGTGTTCTATTTCATTAATTCATAGTGGCTGAGAGCACATAATATGGTTGCAGTTGGATTGATCATATTCTGAGGTACACCCCCCCACTCCTCTCAAATCCTTACATTTTGATTAAAAAGAAAATTAATGTACGTTAAATGGATTAAAAACTGGCTAACTGACAGGTCGCTAAATTAATTTAAACAAGGAAGAGTGATTGAGTGGGTATGTTTCCATTGGGGTCCTGCAGTGATTAGTACTTAGCTCTAGCATATTTAACATTTATATCAATGTTGTGGGATACAATATAACAATCAATGATTCAGTTTGCAAATGACACAAATTGGGGGAGCAGTAAATAATTAAGCGGACAGGTCACTGATTCAGAGTGATCTGACCTGGATTAGTTGGTCAACTGGAAGCAAGCAAACATCTGCATTCTAATAGAAATATACATACATAATCAGCACTGAGCCCCAGAGCAAGGTGCAGGCTCTGTGCTCCTGGAAGGGGTAGGGCCTCAGGTAGAAGGGGCAGAGCCATGGGCAGTTGGCCCTCAGCACCTTCCCGTGCTCAGAGCCCTCAGAGCCACACACAGTGGTGCTTCAGCAGCAATTCAGAGAGGGCTGGGTTGCTAGCTGCTGCTACCATAGTGGTGGCAGCCTGAGGCCCCGAGAGTTGCCAGGCCTTGAGACAATTGCCTCCTTTGCTCTCCCCTGTCAGCAGGCCTGTAAATAATAAAAGTCAGGGCAACCTACAGCAAGACCCTGCGCTGAGCTCCACACCCCTGGCGCTGCCCCTGCCCAGCCTAGGTGTGCAGATCCTAGGAGCTAATGGGTTAAACACCTCCTTCCCCCACTACAGGTGCTACCTCCTGCTCTGTGAGGGGGCGGGACTGGGGCTGCTCCGCAGATCGGGGCTGGGTGGCCAACCACATATGGGCTACTGGGGCCTGCGCTGCACCCTGCTGCTCCTGCAAACTGTGTGCAGGGGCAGGGAGCCCCTTCCACAGCACCCAGACTGGTGGAACCTGCCCTGGGCTCTGCTCGCCCCAGCCCTGGAGCTGCAGGTGGTGTGCAGGGACAGGAAGCCTCTTCTGTGCCTGGCTGGGCTAGAACCAGTCCTGAGCAGCCCCGGGCTCTGCCTACCCCAGCCTCACAGCAGTAACCTGAAACTGAGGGGCAAGCCCTGGCAAAGGGCTAGGTCAGGCCGGGAAGTGATTCTGTCCATCACCCCTCCTCACCCCAGTGCTGGTCCCAGGGGACTGTGAGTTCCAGGGCTGCTGCCCTGCCAGTGTGCATGCTGGGGGCACAGGGATGTGGCGGTAAGAGGGGTGAAGGAGGATGTGGGGGTAGGATGGGAGGGAGCAGGGATTGCACTGAGGGGGATGGGGTGATGCAGGGCATCAGGCTGAGGGGGAACATGGGGCTGAGGGGAGCAATGCTGGAGCAGAGGGAAGATGTGAGGGGGGGATACAATTTTCCTTTGCAGAAGCTGTACTTTCCTTCACTCTCCATTTTTTTACCTCCCTCTCTAACTAGTTAGTCAGCTGCATTCTCACACTTTCAACTTTTTTGCATTACTCTTCCAACCCCCTCCCACCTCAAAACTGTCTCACCCACACCCTCTCCTGCGGCCAAACTCTCATTCCAGACCCTGCCCTTCTCACCCCGTCCTGTACCGCACCTCCTGCCCAGATTCTGCATCCTTATTCCACTTACTGGCAGCGCTACTCCTCACATTGAACCTTTCATTTTTGTTCCTATCCCACAGCCTTAGGGGCCCACAAAATCCACTAATTCTGGAACCCCAGGAAAGTAAATCTGGCCTATGGGAAGCCCTGACCCTCAGTCCTACCTGTCTTTTCCCCTCACCCTGTGTGGCTGGAGAGCCAGAAGAGTGAAGTGTCGCAGTTGGGGGCCACAGTGAGGGTTGGGGGTTTTTGGAGGCTTTTTTTCTTCTCACTTGTGTGGCCCTGTCGGGGGGCTCCCCCCTCAATTAGGGTTGCTACCCTCGTCTGGGGCATAGTTCAGCCCACTTGGGCCTAGCCCCTGTACTAGGGAGAATGCAGCCTCCTGGCCTAGTCCGCAGGCCCTGAAGACTCATCCCAAAGTACGATGCCCCTGTAGTAGGGGAAATACGGCCTCCTGGCCTAGTGCTCCGTACACTGGCTCTGCGGCCTAGTCCTCTGGCCGAGCTCCCCGCTTGCCGGGGTTCAGAGCAGGAGGGGTAGGGGGGCCCGGGCCCTCCCTCTCCACCAGCCCCGACCCAGGGCCCTATCAGTGGTGAGTTGCTCCCACCACTGTCGGGTGGCTGTAGCGGCACCTCCCCAGTCAGCGTCGGGGTTGGCAGTGTCCGGTCCGGTGCCTGGGTCACGGGGGAGGGGTCGGCCGGCAGCTCCGTCGTTGGGAGTGAGCTCGGCTTGGGCCTGGCACCTCCCTTTCTGGCAGTTGGGAGCTAGCTCCAGCTCGGGCCACGGTCTGCCCCTTCTGAGCAGGCCTGCAGTCTTTTATACCTCGGCTCCCCTCCAAGCATGCCCAGTAGGGCTGTGTGGGTGGGGCCCTCTCGGCCCTTGGCGCCAGGTGGTTTCCTGGGGCTTGACTGTGGGGCGGGGCCACCCATCACAGGCCCCAACTAATTTTTATGTGGGTCAATGGCCCCCAGCCCAAAAATGTTCCCCAGTCCTGCCATAAATAAAGAAAACATTGAAACCTTTTGTGCTGGACATAAATTAATATTTTACTTTATTTAAAATGAAGTTTGATAAACATGAGAGAGTTAAAACTCTTAATCTGTTCAATAATTTAAATTAAACCATTCTCCCTAGGTGCCGCACTAGCAAAATGGCTCAGGCATAATTATGTAATTAACAGTGAATTTTCATTAGCAACTGGTGATCCACAGAAAAGTTTTCATTGACCTAGGTGGTCCATGGGGTGCGTGGTGGAGAGAGCCCCTCCTCCCTCCCAAGAGAGTGGTACAGCCCATGGCAAGAGGGCTAAATCTTGGCACGCCACTTTGGAAAGGTTTCTGACCCCTGATACAAGTTACAGAATGTGTGTGTGGGGGGTACTCTATCCTGGGATGCAGTATCTCTGAGAGATATTTGGGAGTTGTGGTGGATAATCAGGGAACATGAGTTTCCAGCACAATACTGTGGCCAAAAGAGCTAATGAACCCCTACTCTTTCAAAGCAGTGGAAATTATCT